CCAATCATCTCTAACTAGCTTCAGGGACAGATCCTTCACAAGCAACTAAGCAATCACCGAATCGGTCCCTCAAACTCGATCCACAGCTCCACCAGCATCCCATTGGATCCGATCACCCGGCATACCCACCAGTGGAAAAGAAAAAGGGAAAGAAGAAAGAGGAGAGAAAGTAGGAGTTAGTCTATAGCGTAAAAGCAATGCGATACTTACCAATACTTACTAAAAGTCTTCTCCCCGTCATCTAAAAGCTGTGTAAAAGGGAAAAAAAAGAAAAAAGATGTCTGAGAGTGTTCCGGGCATCCCCCATGACACACTCAACAAATCCAGCCAGGATCTCTTCATCGCAGGCGAGCACTGGTGAAGGGGTGAGCAGAGGGGCGTCACCGGTAACTACCCGCTACTCGATCCAGACCCGCATCCGTCCACCGGCTAGAGACGAAAGAGAGCAGCCACCTAGTGAACCGAGTAGATAGCAATAGTCGGTTAGTACGCCTATTATCCCCATTACCTTTAAACTTTTTCGTCGCTTATGTGGTCGACCACCGCCTCGTTGCATTGTTCGTAAGCTGTAGCAACCCGTCGCATGTACGTAGTATGGAATGACGTAAAATACATTGAATGCCTTGTCTGTCTTTCCCGTTGTGTACCAACAAAGTTGTGTTGATGATCAAGTGTTGTTATGATTACGTTTAGAGGAGAAGTCGTCGTTGATGAAGCGATATATGCGCAATAGTCGTGTTCTCCCTTTCATCAGTTCGTGGTCGATTCAGTGCGTCATGTTGTAAAGTGATGTAAATCCGAGTTATATGTGTGAGTAATAGACGTTTGTGCTTGAACTCCGTCATCGGTTAACGGGTCGATAAAATGTAGCGTTCTAAGTGAGTTATTATCGAACTGTCGTACATGCGTAAATGGAGAGAATTACTTATTGTATTAAGGCTTGGGAAAATATTGCTGTAAAGCTACCAAGAGCTTCTGGGAGATATGTATGGGTTGAACTTTTTAGCCAGTTGTCGACAAACCGTTTTGTTTATGTAGCAAACCGCCGATGTATTATAGAGTAGCAACAAAGAACTGTTCATTGTTGTGAAGGAGAAAACTTGTCGTAAAACGTTGTGCGATGCACGCACAATAGAGAGAGGGCGTCCGAGTTATGTTAAAGTGAACGTAGGCGCTTGAACTCTTCCATCAGTTAGTAATCGATAAACCGCGTCGAACAGTCGTAGTGCGTAGTATGGAGTGACGATAGAGTTGTTTGTTGAATTTACGCTTAGAAGGAGACGTTGTCCTAAAGCGATGCGTACGCAATAAAAAAAAGTAAACGTCAGGGTATATATTGTGAAAATTTTGTCATCAGTTGACGATCGATAACTGTATTGTTTTTTGAGAAATTGTCAGTGAGTCGTACCAAACTGCCGTATGATGGTGGTGGCAAGGAATTATTTCGTTGTATTTGTTCTTTGGTAAATCGATGCGAGTGCGTAATGTATGAGTGGAACTTTTTATGAACAATAATCTTGTTGTTAAATGTTTGTTGTTTGAAGACAATGACAGAGAACTTTTGGTGGTTAATGACTTGTTTGCAGAGGTTTGTTGTATATTATAAGTATTTAACATTAAGTTGCGCCTTGTAGCAGAAAAGAAGAGCTTGTTGTAAAGAAAGTAATAAGTGTGCAATAGTTAGAAACATTTGGGTATATATAGATGTATGAGTGGACGCGTATCCACGTGTCAGATGACGAGATATGACATATCTGTATTACTCATTGCTTCGCACGTAACCATATATGCATAAATGTAGTTACGTATGCAATAATGAGTGTGTGAGAATCTGCGAATAATAAAGTTTAAATAGGGTATTATTATATACAGTTAAAGTCGATAAACGAATCTCGATAAAACGAACTTTTTCGTTGAGACAAAATTCGGGACTACTAAATAATATTTGACATAACACTCACAAGTCAACATTGCAATAGTACGTACTAAATGACCAGGTTTGTTATACGACTTTCACTGCGTATTGCTTATGTGATACTATATGACATAATATCGCGATTGTTCCGATCGGAGTTACACACAGTAAAATTTTTACTGATTAAAAACCGCAGACCCCCTAATTTAATTTGATTAATTCTTACATAGTGATAATATCTTTAATAATATCAATAGTCACATGCGTAGAAACATTTAGAAAAAATGCAAAAAATTGGGAGGTGTTTTATTTTTGGAACTATGACGAGAAATGCACACAGCCACAACAAAAATGTAATAGATTATTATATAAAATTTTTCCTTTTTTTTTACCGTAGCGTCCACTGATGGGTTTAAACAAACATACTGTGTATATTACACTGAAAATGTGTAACAAAAAAAATTTTTTTTTCGATGCCACTGACACGTTTTTTATTCAATGACAAAGTAAGTGTACTAGGTATTTTGTTGAAAACGGTTTGTGTTATAAGTACGCTGTCACAAGGTGTAAAACCGGATTATTCAAAAATCTGCGTGCTACGTCTATTTATCGTTTAATTTCGGCAACTACTTATGTGTATATTAAAGTACGCTGCCACTAGTGTAAGCTAACGTTTTGAAAAATCTGTAATCGACAAAAAAGTTGTGCTTTTTGCGAGATTGTGGTGGCAAATAGTACACGCAAAACTGCTTTGGAGTTTACTTGCTGTAAACGTTCGATATCAGTTCCGAAAGGCCGACTGCATCTGTATATTTACCAGTCAACCACCTTGACTTTAATACCGGTAATTGCGCCTACTGTGAACATTCTTCGTTAATTTTTGACTATTATAATTCAGCTCTCACTTTTTTGTTATAATTATCATTGGGCGGGACGATATTGCGATATCAAGCAGGCTTTTTGAACCGTTTGCACGCAACATAAATTACGCCACTTGTCTTATGGGCATGTTGTCCAATCGACTATGAATAACTCATCGATTATCTTCTGCTTTTATCTAACAATATATATGTTGTATGTAAATCCCGTCACCATGTAAATCCCGTCACCATGTAAATCCCGTCAAGGACCCCAAAATAAATAGATAAACGTCGTACGTAAATTCCGTCAAGGACCCCAAAACCGCATTTACATATGTAAATCCGGGATTTACATGGCGACGGGATTTACATACGACATATACACATTATCAGCAGAACGGCGGCCTGAATGCAGCTCTATGATTGGATTATTCTTTGAATTGGGTCCATACAAAGTCAATGCTAACGGAACCGACACAATGTTTAATTCCTATTCATGCGTCAGTCATATTTTTGTATTAGGTATACAAATGTCCTCTCATGCTATACTGTTTCGGTCTATTTTTTGTGTTGATATTTTCAATTTAAACGCAGCCAATGAATGTTGGACTTTCTTATGGTACTGGAGCGACTGACGTAATTGTTGCAGCTGAGGACGTGCTAGCATTTCTCCAAATATTCTTCAGCAAATATCAACAGTATGACCAATTATACTTTCATATTGCTGGTGAATCGTAAGTCAGTGCTCAAGTGACATACATGTTATAGTATGCAATACAAATATTACCCAGATATGGCTTGCAATTTATCGTACTCGACGAAGATACTTGTGATAAGATGAGATCAGCGTATCCCACATGTGCTCAACTCGTTACAGATCACTGGGAGCGTCTCATTGTCGTCGGGCTATAGCTTACTGCGATATAGCATCCATATCAGCTGACTGAAACGATGTGAGGGAGAAGTGTAAACAGGATCAATGTTATCCTGCCCTTTATTCTATGAAAGAGTATTTGAATCGGAAAGAGGACAAGCGCAAACTCGATGTTTTTATTTTAAATTCTGTAACTACAATATTTACGACGAATTCGCAATGACTGGTGACAAGTCAGTATAGATCTGAATTTTGATGCCACTTTTATGACAATGACAACTAAACCCGTTATTTTTTTAGGATGCGTCAGATCACAAACTAGTTTCCAATTTATTAGAAGCGGGTATTCGTGTCCTCTGTGGTAACAATAACGACATGGATAATAATGTCAGTGTCGTCATTGACGGTGAATCCACCTCCTCAAGGTATTAGTATAGTCAAGTATATCACAATCATGCAGAGCAAATCAAAATGTTTGTATTTTTTTTATAACAAAAAAATCTTTATCGTAGAGTGACGTGACTTTATTTTATCGACTTTGATTATGTAACAGAAGTAGGTCTAGACATTCTGCATTGGAAATTAAGCAGAGCTTATCCAGTCATTTAGGCCAAACCATACATTGTAGAACCGCATCACTCGATAACAAGCTTGACATGCATGCTAGTTTCGTCATTATAATGTAATTTCTGAAAGCTCTGGCCATTATGGTTGTAAGCAATATGTAGATAGTATTCTGAAGATTAACTTTAACTATTGAATTTGTATTATGTAAAGAAAAGAAACATCTCACTCCTTATTGATTGCACCTAAAGATATTCAATACCAATACTGAGCTCAATTAATTAAGTCTATTTAATTCCAATAGCTGTGTGTACATCTCTGCCCTGGTGTTACACCCATATGACAGATATGTACTATAATATAAATATATAAGTAAATTTATTATTCAGTTTTTGATATGTTCATATTCACTACATATACAGCCAGAGTTCCCATATCACTATAATAATAGCTTCAACTGTACTTGAAGTTTAACTCTAAAGTATAATTTGGTAATTAATCAACACTACTAACACCCAAATATAACTCTGCACTAAAAATTCTATCCAACTTTGTGCTCCCTACCTACTGTCTTAATCTGCTTGATAAGCATCATCAATTTTTGAACCCTCCTTAGTTTGGAGCTCTTATTAGAACTAAACATAAATTGATAATAATAAACTTGATTGGCTGCTTATTCAATAGCATTTGTTTTGCTCTAATACAAACTCCTTCCATGGCATAACTAATTATATTGCCCATATGCATAAACATTTTCTTGTATGACCACTTCCTGTAGTAGTAATCTCTGATTATGATACACATACAGTCCAACCATTTTTACCAATCAAATTATTTGTGTAAAAATACCTCCTTGTCAATATGATTCAACAACTTTTTTGATGGTCTGTTTTTATATTTATATTAATATTTGTTCTACATAAATAACTATGCTAAGTCAGCTTTTTGCTATCACTCCCA